GGCCCCTCCCTCGCGGTCGGAGCGGCGCCAGTGACCCACAAACCCAGCTGGCGGCCCGGCGTGCCTCGGCAGCCCAAGCCCACTGACCTCCTCCGACCTGCGGCCGGCGCGGCGCCGCTCTCACACGCCAGGCGGAGGGCGGCCGGCGTGCGCCCCGACCGGCGGCGGGCCGGCCGGCGCCGCCGCGCGCCGCACCCCACCCGCTGGCTGTAAGCCCCGCTATTGAGGTCGTGACGCGGTGCGGTGAGTGGCGAGTAGCAATCACCGTACTTGCCAGAGTTGTACTCAGTGGCTGGTACTAGTCACGCTCGTCGCCGTTGCATGCTTATCTGGCGTGTCTGTTCTCGAGAGGGCCGCTGTCGCTCTGGCTCTATCTTCTCATCCAGCTCCGACAAGTTACGGGACTGTGGCCACCCAATCACGGCCAGCGGGCTTCGTGCATCCACAGGTTCGCATCTACATCTCATGATCGTAATGGAAAGGTGAAGACAGCTGAGCTCCCGATAAACGTGGGAGAGTTTCCCCCGCTGACCACACCCGGCCCGTGCCACGTGAGCGCGTCTTGGGCTCGTGAACGGCGAGGCGCGGTCACCAGTCGACATGTGGCAGGGGATACCTCAGTGTGCGCGCGAGCGAGAACTGATCCCAATCGATAGGAGCCGGATACAGGTCACGGGAGGCAGGTGACGTCACCATGTTGTACTGGTCAAGCCGTCGATGGTATCGCTCGCCTTGTTCAGGTCAGGACCGGATCTGACGCAGTCACCGAGCGGCGCCTGTTTACCAACTGCCGGCCGAACGTGCGGGATGGCGCGCGCGGACGGCGGTGTCGGACGCACCGCGCAGGACTGGTGCTCGCTCGTCAACATCGTCTTCGCAAGGACAAGCTAGCTGTTACGCTTCCGGTGGAACACCGACGCGCTTCCGCTGCTCGCGCCTTCCTTCGGCCTTTGAGCAGACGTGAGCTCATGGTCGTCTGCGTACGTTGCGGGCGGCTCGGTGGATCCCACCGCTGCACAAAAAGGGACTCGCGGCAAACAACAGAAACAGACTGTGCGCCGAACGGCGCTTTAGTCAAGAATGGACGGGGCACTGGTGCATCACGCTACACCCAGACCGTCACACAGTGGGCTTAGTCCTGGGCGCAGCTCTCGATGGGTGGAGACGCGTCTGTGTGTCCACAGTTTACATGTAACGGGACACGCGAGCACATTTGTTAGAAACAGCAGCCTAACGAACCAAAATATTTCCATGTGCACGCAATCGGCCGGTGCTGCCTCTCCTCAACCTGTCTGCCACCTTTACGTCACAGAACACAGTGCCTGCATTAACGACCTCTAAAACTTGCATTCATTTACGTGGAGACCGCAAGCCCAGCGAGTCTTACGTGAACCTGGAGAAGACGGTCAGTTTGGGTGGTCAGGCTCTGCCTGGCTAGCCGTCACGCTTTCCAGCAGCTTTCAACAACTGCTCGTAGGCTCAGGTGGATTTCAGCGACAAGAAGCCAAATTCTCTAAAATTGGTGCGATCGCATACTAGGCTTTTGCATACAGACTATTCAGTCAGGTGAGCCAGCGATATTGCAATATCACTGTAATGTCGCGTCTCCAGTTGAATTCACTCGGGAATTGCAAATTTGCTAAGGGAGAAAGCGGTGAAGAACACAGATCAGGGGAGAGTCCAGGTCTCGATGATCCAGCGTCGCGGCGAGGCAGGATGGACGTACTCTGACTGAGGAGAAGGCCGACAGTCGCGTGGGCAGAGATGTGAGTCCATGTGTTCAGAGCAGGATAACGTACTCTGGCTGAGGAGAAGCCGACATCGCATGGGCAGAGATGTGAGTCCATGTGTTCAGAGCAGATGGACGTACTCTGGCTGAGGAGAAGGCCGACAGTCGGGGCAGAGATGGTGAGTCCATGTGTTCAGAGCAGGATGGACGTACTCTGGCTGAGGAGAAGGCCGACAGTCGCGTGGGCAGAGATGTGAGTCCATGTGTTCAGAGCAGGATGGACGTACTCTGACTGATGAGAAGGCCGACAGTCGCGTGGGCAGAGATGTGAGTCCATGTGTTCAGAGCAGGATGGACGTACTCTGGCTGAGGAGAAGGCCGACAGTCGCGTGGGCAGAGATGTGAGTCCATGTGTTCAGAGCAGGATGGACGTACTCTGACTGAGGAGAGGCCGACAGTCGCGTGGGCAGAGATGTGAGTCCATGTATTCAGAGCAGGATGGACGTACTCTGACTGAGGAGAAGGCCGACATCGCATGGGCAGAGATGTGAGTCCATGTGTTCAGAGCAGGATGGACGTACTCTGACTGAGGAGAAGGCGACAGTCGCGTGGGCAGAGATGTGAGTCCATGTGTTCAGAGCAGGATGGACGTACTGACTGCGGAGAGGCCGACAGTCGCGTGGGCAGAGATGTGAGTCCAGTGTTCAGAGCAGGATGGACGTACTCTGGACGAGGAGAAGGCCGACAGTCGCGTGGGCAGAGATGTGAGTCCTGTGTTTCAGAGCAGGATGGACGTACTCTGACTGAGGAAGGCCGACAGTCGCGTGGGCAGAGATGTGAGTCCATGTGTTCAGAGCAAGATAGACGTACTCTGGCTGAGGAGAAGGCCGACAGTCGCATGGGCAGAGATGTGAGTCCATGTGGTTCAGAGCAGGATGGACTACTCTGGCTGAGGAGAAGGCCGACAGTCGCATGGGCAGAGATGTGAGTCCATGGTTCAGCAGGATGGACGTACCTGACTGAGGAGAAGGCCGACAGTCGCGTGGGCAGAGATGTGAGTCCATGTGTTCAGAGCAGGATGCGTACTCTGACTGAGGAGAAGGCCGACAGTCGCATGGGCAGAGATGTGAGTCCATGTGTTCAGAGCAGGATAGACGTACTCTGGCTGAGGAGAAGCCGACATCGCATGGGCAGAGATGTGAGTCCATGTGTGTCAGAGCAGGATGGACGTACTCTGACTGAGGAGAAGGCCGACAGTCGTGGGCAAGATGTGAGTCCCATTGTGTTTCAGAGCAGGATGGCCGTACTCTGACTGAGGAGAAGCCGACAGTTCGCATGGGCAGATGTGATTCATGTGTTCAGAGCAGGATGGACGTACTCTGACTGAGGAGAAGGCCGACTCGCGTGGCAGAGATGAGTCCATGTGTTCAGAGCAGGATGACGTACTCTGACTGAGGAGAAGGCCGACAGTCGCGTGGGCAGAGATGTGAGTCCAGGTGTTCAGAGCAGGATGGACGTACTCTGACTGAGGAGAGGCCGACAGTCGCGTGGGCAGAGATGTGAGTCCATGTGTTCAGAGCAGGATGGACGTCTCTGACTGAGGAGAAGGCCGACAGTCGCGTGGGCAGAGATGTGAGTCATGTGTTCAGAGCGGATGGACGTACCTGGCTGAGGAGAAGGCCGACAGTCGCGTGGGCAGAGATGTGGTCCATGTGGTCAAAGCAGGATAGACTACTCTGACTGATAGAGGCCGACAGTCGCGTGGGCAAAGATGTGAGTCCATGTGGTCAGAGCAGGATACGTACTCTGACTGATGAGAAGGCCGACAGTCCGCGGGCAGAGATGTGAGTCCATGTGTTCAGAGCAGGATAGACGTTCTCTGACTGATGAGAAGCCGACAGTCGCGTGGCAGATGTGAGTCCATGTGTTCAGAGCAGGACGGCCGCACTCCTATGTGCACAAAACGTGGATGTGCCCGTTTTGAAGCGTTTTAAATATTGAGGTCAGATCTCAGCAGCCGGGCAGACGTGGGTGGTGACGCCACCTGACGCTTGTGCAAAATCGACTGCGATTCACTGACGGATCTGAAATATGTCCTTCTCGTCCGTTCACCAGTAATCGGCTGGGAGGCGGCTTGTGCCACTGTTTCCGACGCCCACTCGATTGCAAGACGCGGTGGCCCAAATCGAGGAAGATTTGGCCACAAGAATTACTCGGGCGTGCATCCTCTTCAAGCGACCATATTCACACAAAATGACGCTTTTGCTGGGTTTTAGCCACGATTGGCAAACCCGTGAATCGCTATGTAGTGTAGTGCGCGCAGGCGCTGCAGCAGCGTCGCCCGTCGCCTCCCCGTCTCACGCCCGCGCAAGCGCTCAGAGTTGTATCCGGTCAGCTTGGCCCGTCTGTAAACCGCACCCACGTGTCGTTCTGGCCGCCCCAGTATGGCTGAATGGCGACCTGACGTGATCTCCGCCGTCCAGCAGCTGGGGAACCATACGTACGATGCCACTTGACGCGTACGCCATGTCCTCGTACGACCTGCGGTGGAACCGCTGCAAGGAGTTCCTGGAGGAGCGTGGAGGTGACCGAGGCGTGACGGAGAGCTTCACCGACAAAGATCAACATGGAGATCCTCCGGGAGAGCGTGGCCACCTAATTTCGCGGCTTCAACCACATGGGGTGAGTTACCACTGCATCACCCATGCCTTCGGTCAGCAGAACGAGAAAAAAGTGTTCCATATCTTTGCATGAGCTAGCAAACTGTCAAAGGTATACGCTTGATATATATATATAATATATATATATATATATCGATATATTATAGAGTATATATATAGATATCTCTCTCTCTCTCGCTCTCTCTCTCTCTCTCGCTCTCTCTCTCTCTCTCTCTCTCTCTTTCTCTTTCTCTCTCTCTCTCTCTCTCTCTCTCTCTCTCTCTCTCTCTCTCTCTCTCTCTCTCTCTCTCTCCTCATTTAAAAAACGTTGGATATGATGACCAATTTTGACCGACTATTTTTAGTGTGACCATGACCGAGAACCATGGTAGAATACCTGAGCGCGCGAGCCTTAAAGTGATGACAAATGCTTTCACGCCATCGCGTTCGATAATACACACAAACACACACCACACACCCAGTATTATATGTTATATATATATATATATATATCATATTATATCTTATACATAGATATGTCTATATTATATACATATATATGTATATATATATATATAATATAGATATATATATATATCTTATACGGCCTGCTGTAGCCGCACGTGGCAGCGGGTGGCGTACGAATGCCTATCATCAGCGCGTTAGTCAGCTCATCGACCCTGACATACACAACGGTGTCTCCCGTTCTCCACACCGAACTTGACCAGCTCGCGAGGCTGCAACGCCGCGGTGCCTCGTGGCAGGAACATCTGTCTGCACTCCGTGCAGACCAGCAGGCAGCCGTTGGGTGGAGCAATTTCGGCCGCGGCTCGAATCGCGTCTCGGCGGCGAGCCGGCGCGTGTCGTGACAGGGCCGACAGCGCACGCGGGCGGGGGCGGGCCGACTGGCGGCTCCTGGCTGACCGGCGGGGGCGGATTCGAGCTGGCCGGTTCTGGCTGACGGGCGGACCCGAGCAGGCCGCTCCTGGCTGACGGGCGGGGACGGGCCCGAGGGTGCCGGTCCTGACTGACGGAGCGGGGGCGGATTCGAGCTGGCCGGTCCTGGCTGACGGGCGGGTCCGAGCTGGCCGGTCTTGACTGACGGGGCGGGGGCAGGGCCGAGCTGGCCGGCCCTGGCTGACGGAGCGGGGCGGATTCGAGCTGGCCGGTCCTGGCTGACGGGCGGTCGAGCTGGCCGTCTTGACTGACGGGGCTGGGGCAGGGCTGGCCGGCCCTGCTGACGGGGCTGGGGCAGGGCCGAGCTACCGGGCCTGACTGACGGGACACGCCAGGGCGCGGCTGGGCGTGGCGGCACTGCGGTCAAGAACCACACCCCGTCCCGGCCGCGGTGAGCGCTGACCCTGCGGCCAGCAAGCTACAGCGGCGGCCACGGGGGCAGCTGGTGAGATGGTCGCCAGCTGAGGCGGGCCTGGAACCGTCCAGGCGGCAAAATGCATCGCAAATCCGGGATCTGAATGCTGTTGTAAAGGATTTTCTGAGATGAGATCCGCCCATGGGATTCAGGCTGGATAGCCTCCAGCTTCCTTAGAAGGCCGCCATGCTCGAGCATGTCACCCTAGCACGCAACAGGCAGGCCGGCCGCTTTCACTCCCAGCGCGTCGACCGCGCTCGGTAGTCGATCACGACAGGTGATGCCAATTATCTGGCGCAACTGGGCCAATCAAAACATACTCCGAGTCATTAGATGGCGGCCTCCGTGCAGGCAGGGTATCAGAAACAACTGCTGTGCACGTACCAGGTGCCGACCCCTGTCCAGTCAGTAACGCGGGGCCAGACGCCGATCTCTGGCGGGACGTTGACCTCTGACCTTTGTGACGTCTGACCTTACTGCCCGTTCCGTACGGTAAGCCGTTTCCGGTCGGCGGCGGTGGCCTCCGACAGACGGGTGGGCAGAGTAGGTGGTATTATCTCGTCACTGGCTTCCCCATTCCTCGAGGAAGATTTCGAAAAACCGGCAGTATGCCGACGGACAGCGCCAGACAATAAGTCGGGTAAGGGGACCTGTGCTGGACTCATGGTGATGGCATCAACGCCGGAAATTGACCAACTTTTCGCTGAGTCAGTCGTTCGCTGATACATGAATGATTTTTCACCTTCCACAAATTAAAAACTTACGTGTCCCATGTTCATAGAATGTGGAGTGCGATCACGCCATTTGTGGTGGATATGGTAGTATTCCAGGGATGGTCTGATCAGGAAACTCACATTTAAAAGGCTTAAACTTACCGCAGTACAGTTGTATAGAATCAAACTACTTTCATCGGCGGGAATCGCTACAAAAGCAATGCTATTGACGTTACTCTTAAGTGCACAGAAGATGCCACGGAGGTTACCTTGGTCACTTTCTCTGTTACTTGTTAAACGGGACTTATAAACAAGTCTGAAAGCGGTCTCATCCCCTTCCCTTATCATTTGTATTCTCCTATGACGATGGTACGAAATTCTGGTCAAAAGACAAGCCACCTGTTAACTAAGAGAGCCATGACTTAGCTCTCACTGTGCTCACAACAGTGCGTGATCAGCTATGTTCACGTAACATCGAAGTGGTCAGCAAACTGCGAAATGACAAGATATTTAACTTGCTTTCACTGTGTTTGATTCTTACGATATGTGCACTAATAACTGTTCGTGTGGCGCTTAACATGATTGCTGTGCCGCGAAAGGAGGAAGCGAACACACACAAGCAACAAGAGATTACCTGGCGGTTCCTGAAAAAGTTTTACGCTCGTGTCATGGAATTCGCCATGACCACATTCTCATGCATTATAAACGTACTCTTAGCCTATAAAACATGTTGCTATGTGACCACATGACACAGCGTGTCACTGTGTGACACCGTGACGCGTGTGTGTGGCACGCAACACGTCCGGCGTCGGCGGCGGCGGCGGCGGGGGGAGGGGCGGGGCGGACGGCGGCGGGGGCGGCGGGGGAGGGCTCGCGCCGCTGGCAGTGGTGCGGCACGCCCCGGTGGAACACCGCCAGCCAGCACCATCCGCCTGACGCGGCGCCTTTTTAAGCGCTTACACTTAACAGCATTTGGACGATGTTGGCGATGAACGCGGCGGCGCCATGGCTGGCCGGCAGCCCCCGGAGCCCCGTCGCCACCTGTCCGGGCCCCCCGCCGACCGCCGCCCCTCAGCGCGCCGCGCCAGCGCTGCCGCGGCTGGTGGAGCAGGGAAGCTGACACCTCATCCGGCATGAAACTGGCAATGCGTTCTCTCCACAACAAGCTTCCATGGCTGCCTTTTAAGCACCAGCCGCTCCAGATTCGTGACTGACAAGTGGTAGTTCAAATTGGTAGCATTTGTGTAGCGAACAGTCGCGTCTAATCGATTCTTGAAGTTGGATGCAAAAATGCTAGATGTTTTCCATTTGTCCACGTTATTTTATTATTTTACAACTTTGCCTTAGCAGCAAAAGTAAGGCAGTAATAAACTAAGTTATAACAGAGCAACGAACCACAAAAGAAGTGAAAGTTCATCAGTGCGTTGCATTTTTAGAAGAAAAAGGGCCTTCTGTTACTAAGCAGTTTCGTTCGCACCAGAAAACGGAGTAACGGAGCACGAACCATGCCCACGTACGGCTCCTTTTTGACTAAGCCTTCACGGCCGGAGGATCTGTGATTGCAGACAGGCGTCCTCAAAAACGAGATGGGGCCCGGCCGGTCGGGCTGCCTAAGTCACAAAATGACCGGTTATTTTAATTAGTCTAATTAAATCGACTAGTTTTAGCTAAATTTAATTCTCCCGCAGAAATACAAGCTGTCATTTAAGCCGATGCAGAGGGGTAGTTTCGCAGCATGAGTTTTGGGGAGGGCCTGAGCAGTGAAAAATACGCAGCATACCCCTGCGGCCCGAAAGACGCGAGCAAACGGATTGTATCAGGACTTGAATTATTTTCTTCTCAAAGTACTGGGTGGGGTGCGAGGAGAAGGCTGGATCCCTGAATGGAAAACCAAACCCCTGGACCGATGGAATTATTATATAATATTTGACTACCTCCATTCCGGGACGTCATGGCAGTGTAGACACACCGCAGACGCAGTATCGCCTAAAAGCTTGACACCATTGTTTTGTGTCTTCGGATGTGCTTTCCACTGACATTTGGAACATCTGTTTACCGACGGTCAAGTGACAGGTGCACTGACGGTTCAGTGACAGGTCAGGGTCCTGTCTGACGTTTGGCGTGGCGGCCAGGTTCCTGTTTCCCATCTCGTACCTGGACGGAGTGGGCACCGGCCTCTCGCTGCTCGTCGGCTACATGAAGTTCAACAACGAGGCCGACTACCGCACCCTGCTCCTGAGGTCAGTGTACAGCACAGCACGCGCAGCGGAAGCCAGTGCCGCCGGCCCGCGAGCAGTGCCGTCGCCACGCCATGCTTGTTCAACTGTACAGAAGGGCGTAACGCAGAAGCGTTGGCTCATTAGGCAGCCAACGCGCGGTCACGCGGCCGCCGCGGCGACTGCGGCGACCGCGGCGACCAACGACGACCGCGGCGACCAACGGTGACCAACGGCGACCACGGCAACCAACGGCGACCAACGGCGACCGCGGCAACACGCTCGTACTGTGTGCACCGCCGCTGTCGCGTACGTCTGCGCCGACTGACCGGTTTCGCTAGTCTGTCAGCATCGCCGCGGTGTCCGAACAGTGCGAGAACCGGTGTCCGGGATCGTGGCCGGGTGAGATCAGCGCCGCGCCGCCGTGTCCGCGTGACCCGTAGCCGCCGCTCTCCTCGACACAGCTGACCACGCCGCGATCTGGGCCGGTTTCTGCATGACGGTACCACGCTGTGGTGGCTACCGAGACGGCACCCGGGCTCACCACGGGTGCCAGCCATCGGGAACAAGTCATGGCCCAGCTCACGGCTGGCCGTGTCTATGCTTGGCCATATTATTTGAGCCGCGTACTGCGGTACGTGCTGTATGTTCACCGAGCGATAGCTGATGCTTGAACGAGTTGAGTTGAGGACTCTGGGACTGGTCCTCTGGGACTGACACTCTGGGACTGACTGGCTCTGGGACTGGTCCCCTGTATGTCTCACCGGTGCGGGTGCTGACTGCCAACAGTCCGTTGTATGTCCCGCCGGTGAGGGCACTGACTGCCAAGAGTCCGCTGTATGTCTCACCGGTGCGGGCACTGACTGCCAAGAGTCCACTGCATGTCCCGCCGGTGCGGGCACTGGCTCTCGGATGTCCGCTGTATGTCCCGCCGGTGTGGGTGCCGATCGCCATGCTTCCCCGCCCCCCCAGGCTGCAGGAGTTCCCGCGGCAGGCGGCGGAGCTGGAGGAGCTGATGCGGGAAGGCATCAGCCAGGAGAGGACGCTCCACAACGTATCCATGGTGAGTGGAAGGGCCGGCGCGCCAACGCCAGCCCACGCACACCTCGCCGCCGCCGGTGCGTCGCGCCAGCGGCAGCGTCTGCGAACGGGTTCCCCGGCGGAGTGATGCCGGGAAGACTCTGCCAAAACGAAAAACCCTTGCAGTGCCCTGGGACGGCAACTGAAATATGTTTGAGACTATAAAGGGATGTCCCGTCATATCATACGCTATATACCATGCATCATATCAGACATATGAGATATAGAGAGATAGTAGGATGGGTGGTACAAGGTGGGAACACGTCATGTCGGACGACGGATTCTTAACGGTACCTTACATAGATGAGCACTTACTTTGGAAAACCAAACACATCGTTAGGCAATCAAAGCTGCGCTTACGGATAGATTGGAAGAGCGACAATTAGTTAAAAGGGTTTCTGGTGAAGTTGTCTTCATAGAAGCCTAAGTGCCCGGGTGGAAATAAATGTCATTTATGTAAGCTTGGGTTTCAAGGGGTTTGCACACAAAATAATATGGTTTACAGAATTGAGTGCGAACCGTATGAACAACATGGAAGGGACATAGTCTATGTCGGAAGGTCCATGCGCCCTATTCGTCTGAGGTATGAGAAACACCTGCCAGACGCTAAAAACAAACGAGACAAAAAAACAACTAAAAACTGAAAACAAACCAAATACCCCTTTAAGACAGAAGTATTAGTCTTATTCCTCGGAAGAACCAGGAGAACGGAGATAAAGTTAAGTTGACATTTCGGCAACATGCGTTTCTCGAAACAATAACGGAAGTTAATCATTATTTTCCTTTTTGGACTGTCCTGTGGTCTGTAGATGACTTTGAGCTCTAAAAGTGGCATAGCGTACGTGCCTCACTGGATTTCAATAGAGATTCAATAGCGATAAATTTCAATAGAGATTCAGTAGCGATTTCAATTTATAGCCTCACTCACTGGAAGACTTCAACGTACAGGGCTCATCATGGCTGATTATACAAGCGTGATAAGTGCCTTGATATGTGGTGCGTGTTGCCTCAAAATCGTTAACATGTATGATTGATGCATGACGCGTGATGTGCGATGTCTGTTTAAGTGAAATCGTAGAAGCAATTTTTCAGGAATTCACTTCTGCAATTTTTACTAGAAAAGCATGTTGCCGAAATATCAACCTACCTATATTTCCGTTCTCCTGGTTTTTCCGAAGAATAAGGCTAAAACTACTGTCTTATCTGTGTAACTAATGTTCCTCGCTAATGCACTGAACAACTTACAAATACCCCTTTCGGTAACTATTTTTGGGCAATGCACGCTCAGGCTGAAATCCATTGAGGTATGTACCCTATGCCACTTTTAGAGATCAAAGTCATCAACGGAGCACAGAACCATCCAAAGAGGAAAATAAGCAAATCATTTCTTATAAAAAGTCGACGACAAAACCTTAACGTACAGGGCTCATCATGGCTGATTATACAAGCGTGATAAGTGCCTTGATATGTGATGTGTGTTAGCTTAAATTCGTTTGGATGTATGACTGATACATGATGCGTGATGTGCGATGTCTGTTTAATTGAAATCGTTTGCATGCATAACTGATGCGTGATGTGTGGTGCCTGTTTACTTGAAACCACTTACATGTTTGAATGGAGGGTGATGCGTGATGCCTGTTAACTTGAATTAATTTACATGCACACGTATTTTTGCGCGTATTCTAGTTCTTCGTTGGATATACACTATATCGTAGTAACGACTGGCCATTGTTCCTTGTTTAATCCCCTGAATTTTGGTGGCCTATAAAAACTGTGGCGAACTGTTTCCAAAAAAGCCTGCAAAATCGAGTAGGATCATCGGTAGGCAATTTTGAAATTACTTCCGCTATTCGTTTTGATAAAGGTATGCTACCAAAATGTCGTTCTAATTAACGCATCTTTATCTCGATTCATCTGGTTTTCTACGGATAACAAGGTTATTACTACAATCTCATCGATATGCATAATGTTCCTCGCAAATGTACTTAACGACTTAGGTAACTACAGACTCATCGTTATTGAAGTGCGATCCAGCCAGTCCTGAGAAAAATGAGAACGGGGTGCCTTTGATTCGCCTCCTTCCACCGATCACCCTTGGGCTTAATGTTCAGCAAACCAGCACTCAGTGTTCCACAATACACGATGGCATGCATCGGTAAGCCATCTTACAAAACAGGTGCCTCATTGCGTAAGGCGTTAACAGAATCGAGTAAATCACGTCTAAAAAGGCTGCTTCAGTATACTTATCATGATGCCACTATTATTACGGCCCTAACGCTAAATGCATTCATAATGGCCCAGCAAGCATTCCCCATTAGCGGAGATGATATCTATATGGCTGCAAAACCAGCAATGTCTCGTCCTCTCGCACTTCTAGCGGTCTGTTTTTAGAAGCCTGTTTTTGGCGCGTTCAAAAGGATGGTCCGCGGCTGTAAGTGAAAGTTCCCCGCCTCAGGTGCATCACTCCCACATCGGATTGCGAACCATGACTGGCTAGACTTCTGAGTAACGGCGTTAGTCAGGCATGAAGAATGGCAGTGATATCACCGTGGTGACCGCAGCGTATCCTATCATGTGGTGATGATGCCAGGGCTGCATGCATGAAGCGTCACGACTATTTCTAGATGCATGCATCCGTTCACATGTTCTGATTATAACCCCAGAGAAAAACGGCAGCGAAAGATTGTCGTTGCGCGCAAAAAGGTCTGTAAACCGTGACAAGCAGACAATTTCAAACTACTCATTGCAAACCCTTTCGGCGCGCTTTACCCCAACAGCACAACCGCATAGACAACGCCAACGAATTTGCTGACTCAATTACTACTTGCTATAACTGTAAACTGCGACCACTCGACGTCGGCTCGAGGTTTTCCTGTGTCCACTGTCACGACGTCGTTAGCATCACCGCAGCAATTATACATCTTTCTCCTCTTCCTCCTATACTGAAACGCCAGCTCCGGACCACTCCCACTGTAACTCGTCATGTCATGTCGTATTGTCATGTCGTATCGGCACAGTCATGGTCCGTATTGATATCTAACCTTGCAGTTAAATCGGACTGCCGTGTCATCATAGAAGCATAGCTCTCCTGAAGCATAGAAGCATAGAAGCATAGAAGCATAGAAGCCCTGCTCTCCCTCTCTCATCTTTATACTCATTCGCCCCCCTTCCTTCCTCTCTTTCTCCCCCCCCCCCTCTTGCTCTCCATCGCTGTCGATGTAACGTCATCTCCACCGCACACCACCATCGCCCGGCTTGACGAGCACGGGTTGACTCCCCGATCGGCCGGCAGAGCTCAGTGCCGGAGCAATTTCGGGCGCTGGACGTACCCGTGGAGGAGTCCACCTTCTACGAGCCGTTCCTGAACATGCCGGACTCCATCAGCGCTGATGTTCAGCAAGAGCTGCGGCAGGAGGCCAAGAGGGTGATCATGGAGGACGTCATACAGACCTACAAGAACCTTGGTAAGACAGTGGAAGAGGGGGCGGCACCGTGCGCGGAATGCCGGGAGTCCGCGTGGTTTCCAGGCACGCGTATACACCAAGACGGACACTGGGGGGCCGTGGCGCACCGTGACACGTCTGACATGAGGTACGCATTTGCGTGCTGGGACCAAAGAGCATATCACCTGTGACGGACGTTCCTGGTTTGTTTCTTGGTGTCCTTGCGGTGCTGAAATCCGTTCCAGTGTTCCGGCCCAGAATGTCTATGGCCGCGTTACGGTAGCCTATGCCACCTCAGTGGCGTGTTTCAGTGGCCTGTAACACTTCAGTGGCGCATCACGGCGGCCTGTGACACTTCAGCGGTGTGTCACATGTGACACTTCAACGGTGTGTCACGCATGACACTTCAACGGTGTGTCCCATGCGACACTTCGATGGCGTGTCACATACGACACTTCATCAGTGTGTCGCATGTGACACTTCAACGGTGTGTCACGCGTGACACTTCAACGGTGTGTCACGCGTGACACTTCACCAGTGTGTCTCATGTGACACATCAACGGTGTCCCATGTGACACTTTAACGGCGTGTCACATACGACACTTCAACGGTGTGTCACATGTGACGCGCCTCATCTGTGTGCGGCCCGAAAACCCATATGCCATCGGCATAATCGTAAATATGTGTCTTCACATGCGATGTCACCAATGATGTGCCACTCGCGGCCCGTATATCATGATCGAATGGGACATGCCATTTAGTCGTCCTGCTCTTGGTTTGCCACATGCGATTTTCGCTCAGGCGCCAGGCAAACGATAGGCGCCGTTGACGCTCCGCTCCAGCGACGGGCATTCACACACCAATACAGATTGCTTGAAGGTCCATAATGAGCCCGACAGCACGGTGTATTACCAGCTCACGCAAGTTGGTTATTTTTTTAGGAAGCCAGGAATCGTTTCATTGTGCGATCTGTGTAAAAATACACTTTCCCTGATCGACGCCCATAAAAACCAGTTGTATGAAACAGACTCAGACTACGAAGTAATTCCCAACCGATGCAGAATAATGCGAATAATATCACGTGCCGCTGACATCGTTCGACTCAACCCTTGCAGAGAAATTGGGGTGATTAAGACCACGTCACGGTCACGATACGCGATTTCAGCCGACTTCATCGAGACCGAGTACCTACCGAACACGCGGCCGGCCATAGCAGCGACATCTCTGCCCAACGGCGAGAACTACTACCGGGAATGTCTCCGGTTCCACACCTCGTCGGAACTCACGGCTGATCACATCCACGAGATCGGGCTGGAGGAAGTGAAAAGGATTGAGGGTGACATGAAAAAGGTCAGTTGATCGCCAGACCAGTACGCACTTGATAAAACAAACGAGGTTTGTCGAATGCGGTGTCATGTCTGGCATTTCCTTCACCTTTGAAGGCGCATCTGCCTGTCGTTTTGCTCAGACACCAGCGCATGAGTGGTGTTTTCTACCCAGCCTGTTGCTAAACTAAAGGGCCGCGACACACCCTGATGTCAGCAGACAAGTAAACGTCACGCCTCGATCTCAGTACGGTGGCCGCGAGCGCCGGCTGACAGCGCTCGGTCATGACCTGTGACCGCCAGGTCGTCGACGAGCTCGGCTTCGGGGACATGACGGTGCAGGAGTTCTCCGAGAAGCTGCGCACCGACAAGAGCAACTACTACGAGTCATCCGAGGAGCTCATCGCCGGCTTCACCAAGATCATCCGGGACAAGATCCGACCCAAGATGATGAAGGTCGTGCTCGAGATGCCCAAGACGGCCATCATGTAAGCGCCGCGTGCTTCTGTCGCGGCGTCGCCACCGACCTTGATGCAGCTAAGGAATAATTAGTGCAACTCGTAGCTACCTATTGTTGTCCTTGTTGTTTCTAACGGCGGGTAACACGTCTGCGACTGCAACCTATCTGCACGTCATTCATTTTCTGACATATCGACTGCAGACGGTCTTCCAAAATTTGGAGATATTTTTCGACATTTGCCAAGCCTAGGAAGCTCAAATGCACATTTACAGCCGGTCAGAGGTAAACTGCGAGAATGTGCACTGGACGGATCAATCGCCTGTATTCGCTACCTCTCGCCGTCAGCTGCTCAGTATCTGAGCTCGGCCGGAATGGGCCAGCCTTCCTCTGATCCTTGACACAGTGCATAACGCAGCCTGACACTGCCCGACACTGTTGATATGACCGACACGGCTGATACGGCTGACACCGCCCGAATCTGCTGAAACTGCCTGACATTGCTGACATGGCTGACACTGACACTGCTGGCACTGCACACCGCAGAGTGGACGTACTGCCGGACAATCAGAAGGACGGCATTTCGGCCTCCTACAACATCCCCGCCTTCGACGGCTCCCGTCCCGGCAAGTTCAAGATCAACAAGTACATCTTCGACGAACAGTGAGTAGCGCCGCCGCCGATCGCGCCTCGCTCGATTTGAGCTCGGACGCCGGCAGAAGCCTGTCGTACGAGTACGATGGGCTTCTGAACTGCAGAGCTCCTGAGCTAAACTGCAGTGCTCCTGCGCTGACATGCAGAGCTCCTGAGCTGAATTGCAGAGCTCCTGAGTTAACCTGCAGAGTTCCTGACCTGAACTGCGGAGCTCCTGAGCTGAACTGCAGAGCTCCTGAGCTGACCTGCACGTGCACAAGACAGCAATATTTGAAGTTATGTCGGTGTATGTAGTTACGATAAATATTATTAGTGTAGGTTCAGGGACAGCCAGGTCTTCGATAAGGAGCGGACTTCGCCGCGCTGAGCCCGAAGGGTATCAGTTTACAGCGATGCGAGAGCCTTCTCTGACGGGTTGTTGGTCGTTGCTGTGAGCGTCCTGTGCCTCGCCGCCTCGCGCACCCGGGTCTGGTTTCTTTTGGTCTGGTTCTGTTTAGGGCCCTTTCCGCCAGTGCTGACCATCGGGGCTATGGGTTGAAGGAGAGGGGATAACAGTGGGGCGAATCTGCACCCACCTAGGGTCGATGCGTCGAGATTTAGCCTGCATAGGTACCTCTATACAGGGTATGCGCTCTACACGCGGTGGACGGGGGAGACCTCTATACGGCGTGGACGGGATCCCCGCCAGGACTTCTGCCCACTCATGGCTGGTGCATACACTGGTGCCCAGGACAAACAGAACGTCGCGAGGATGCGGGAGCCTGTGTCTGGTCGCCCATTGGGATATTCTGACGGGTCCTGTGTGGCGCAGGCCCAAGTACGAGATGACGGCCCTGTCGGCCCACGAGGCCAACCCGGGACACCACTACTACTTCTCCTACCTGGTGGAGAAGAAAGGTATGTCCCTGGTGAAGAAGAAAGGTATGTCCTAGTGGACAAGAAAGCTATGTCCGTGGTGGAGGAGAAAGGTATGTCCCTAGTGGAGAAGAAAGGTATGTCCCTGGTGGAGAAGAAAGGTATGTCCCTGGTGAGAAGAAAGGTATATGGGCTGCCTGCTGCACGGCCTTGTCTGGCACGCGTGCTGGCAGGAGGGTATGGGGGGGGGGGGGGGACTGAGATCGGACTGCTAGGGCATGACAAGCCCACGAAGGCGCGAACCAAACACCAATAATCCCGCCTGAAGGCCGGGCATAAACACGATCAGCGTGCGTGCCTCAGGATCGGCGTTGGCAGAGCCACGCACGACTATCTCGCAGAACGCTTGTTCAGCTGATAGGTGGCTTTGTTTTACTCGGCTGCATCCGGTGAACGCTGCGCTCATTTTGCAAAGAGGTTCTTCATTCGTGTCACGTTCATGATCGACGTGCGCCATGGTCCAAACCGTCATCTGCATCGCTGTCCTTGTACATCATCTTCGGCCCTTTCCTATTTGCGCAATCCTGGGTTAGACCTTTTCTACCGGCGATGGCGGGTATTCTTTTTGGTGATGGATCCTCAATTATCATGGGCAGACGTTTTCTACTGGCTTAAGCGGACAGTCTACTTGACAATAAATCATTGATTATCGGCTCCGCTTCATAAAGTCGATTATTTCAAATAAGATAAATTGATCACCCGTGACCAGTAAATGGAGGTCACCGAGCGGCTTAGTCGTTCGAAGAATTTGGCTTTAGGTGGAGAAGCTTAGTGTCATCTTCCTTGATGGGAAAGCTCTCCCGGTCCCGAGTTCTACCAAGGCGTGGCATAGGCTCATAGGCCCCGCATAGGCCACGCATTGGCCCGTAGGCCCCTGCAGTTACACCTGCCGATCAGCGACAGTAACCATTATGACCCCATGTAACAAGACGCGGCCAGCGCGCGGACGTCACTCCCGTGTGATGGTTTTCGTCACTCCCGTGTGATGGTTTTCGTCACTCCCTCCCATGGATGGTTTCGTCACTCCCGTCACTCCCGTGTGACGTCACTCCCGTGTGATGGTTTTCGCCCGCGCGTTCTCGTCTCGCCCGATCCGCGCTCTCGATCCGCGGCTCGCATCAGGTCGACAGCCGACGCGGACCTGATCGTTCCACTTTCCTCCCGCTCTCTCCTCAGATCACGAGCTGGTCTGACCTGACCTGACCGTACCGTCTCTCTGCTGACTGACCTGACCTCACCAGGACTGCCGGACTTCCGTCAGGGCGGCAACAACGGCCCGGCCTACTCGGAGGCGCCGTCCGGCTTTCCGCTCAGGTCACGAGCTGGTCTGACCTGACCTGACCTAGACCTGATCTGACCTGAGCTTACCATCTCTCTGCTGACTGACCTGACCTCGCCAGGACTGCCGGACTTCCGTCGGGCCGGTAACGACGGGCCGGCCTACTCGGAGGCGCCGTCCGGCTTTCCGCTGAACGCCGCCATCGTCGAGGGCTGGGCGCTCTACTCAGAGTACCTCGGCCACGAAATGGGGCTTTACGAGGACCCTTACGACAGGTGAGTGTAGGGGCAGCCATGCCAGCAGTATTCCTAAACCATCGGCAGTTAAACGCCGCCAGGTCGAATTGAGCAATTCGAAAGGAGCTCATGGGTACTGTTGATGATGGCTGGAGGACTCCATTTTCGATGTGATCTTTCTTGCAGGCAATAACCTCAGAATGGTCTCTGTCTGGGACCGTCCTTATATCGTTCGCAGCAGGAACGTTACCTGAATGTCTAGACTGACACGGGACCCACGCGGCCCACATTCAGGTACGGCCGGTACAGCCAGGAGATTTTCCGTGCGTGCCGCCTAGTGGTAGACACCGGAATTCACGCCTTCAACTGGACCCAAGAGATGGCGGTAGAGTACATGCTGAATCACACCGCATCGTCGCGGGTGCAAATTGAGGTGAGTAGAGCCACATCTGACCGCGGCCCGCACGCCATTCATCACTGCATGCACGCATGCTTCATTAACGCCAGATCTAAGTCAGCAGGCACCGTGCATTACGGCTCCACTTTGTAACTGTCCGTAACATGCAGTCCGCGTGTGTGCATAAGTAAAAGCGGCTTAACGACTTCGCCCGCGCGCTCGCGTGTCTGGCGAGCAGCCAGTGACGGCCTGCGCAGTGGCGCGGCTGCAGCGTTTGGCTCCTGTTCAGCCGCCGGCCTGGAACCGGGCTGCGCACTCTCAGCGCCGGCCGTGCGCCGCCGGCCCGTGCTTGCTGTCTCAGAGGCCCTGAGTCACGTTTGGTAATGAGTATCCGCGAATAGCCATGACATGGCTTAATGAGGATGTCAGCTGCCATGAATAGCTTTACTGTGCTAATGCAGCCGAGCGGACTATATTGGGCAAACAGAAAGTATTACGAATACACAGTTGTCACTTGTAGGCCTACAACTGACGACGCCCCATACATACGATCTTCACATTACGGCGAACACCCGCATCGGCACATTCCGCCAATCCGGTGGTCGGCGGCCGACGTGAAGAACCGGGTGCAACGAACCTTGTGCAAATTCCAATCCCTCGTACTCATCTCGATTTTCACAGACATCTTGAAACACGTCCGGTACACGTTCTTACTTCACGTCCCGGGGCGGGCACCGCCCCTCCGGCATATCCGCCCCCCCCCCCCCCGACCCCAGCGTCCCTGCTCACTCCCCCGCCCTCCCACAGAACGAGGTGCGCCGCTACATCACGTGGCCGGGTCAGGCGACCGGCTACAAGATCGGCGAGCTGCGGCTGAAGGAGCTGCGCGCCAGCGCTGAGCGCGAGCTCGGGGATCGCTTCGACCGGCGCGTGTTCCACAAGGTGGTGCTGGACTGCGCCGGCCCTCTGGCCGTCATCGACCAGTGCGTGCAGCGCTACATCGCCGCCGACGGCGTGTGGGACGCCTGGGGCGAGCGGACCGAGCCCGACGCGCCGACGGCGGGAGCGGCGGCCGGCGCGGCGACCACCGCGCTGCTGCTGGCGGCCGGCCTCCTCCCGCGGCTGCTCTGAGCAGAGCCGGTCCGGCCGGCGCCCGAGGGTTGTGAAGGGGGGAGGGGGGGGGGGGGGACGAGGCGGGCGTGGCGGCAGCTCACGGCCGGAGCTCGAGCTCGTGTGCCGCACATGATGATGTGACCGGGGCAACGAGCAGGTCGTGAGGTGACCCGAGCAGGGGCGGGTGATGTGACGGCAGATGTGTCGGCGGGACAGACGCAGCTTCTGCTGCCGCCTGACGGCGACCGAACTGGCGCGAGACGTCAGCGACCGCCTCTCATTCGGGCCAGCCCCCTCCCCGCCCCGCTGCGGGACAGAACGACAGGCGCGAGCGCGATCGCCTGGGCGAGTGTTTTTGTTGGTGGGTCGCGAGAATACACACGAGTGAGGCGGCGCGGGTGTGTGGCCTCAGGCGGCGTCAGCGGACGCGGGGAGGTCCGCTCGTCCGTCAGTCAGCCTGCTCTCGCGCCTCGGCACTGGGTCTTCTCGGGCCACAAGACACTGTTGTCTTCTCTCCTCGAAGGCAACTCCCGACGGCTCCGATCCTCGTCCACCTCACGTCAACCCATCGCCGGCACCAACCCGGAGCCAATCAGCAAACGCCACGTCGAATCATTCGTTTATCTGAACTGGTTGGCGACGCTGCAAGTATAAATGGTCTGACAAAGAACAAATAGGTACAGTACTAAATCGCAATACGCTCTTTGTGCACGGTTACATACACGTCTCGCCTCGCCCGCTCCCGGGCCACAAAGATTACGGAGCCAGCCCGTCCTAATCTTGGTCAACAGGAGAGACACAGTCAAGCCATTAAGTGCGCCGCGCGCCTCCGCGGCCCATAAAGCTTCCGGCGGCCGCGCACGCCGCCGGGCCCGGGCCGGGGCGCGCCGCACCGAGCCAAACTCAACTCCGTAGGGATCGCACCAGGCGGCTGCCGCCGGTCCCCCGCCTCACAAGGCCTGACAGCGCTCACAAGGCTCGCCGCGCGCGCGCGCGCGAGCGCGTGTCCGCCCCTCTCAAACGTAAGCTCAAGCAACTGCTGACAGGAGCGACGCACACCCCAGTGGAATTCTTCAAAAATAACAATAACAAATTTGGTATACTTATGTTGTTACACAATACGGCATCTTGAATAGAATATAATTATCCTATGTACACACGGGTGGTGGGCGGCTGTGTGTTGGCACCTCTAGAGACGGGCGAGCGGGCTGGCCGTCGGGCCGGGCCGCCCGTGACGTCACCGCCCGGCGCCGCGCGGCCATCACGTGTGATCGGCGGCCGACTCGAACGTCAGACACGCGCTACTCGACGAGGCCGAGTCAAACGTCTCCGTCTGCAAGACAGAGGCGCGGTCATGACCTCGCGGCGCCGCCGGCCGGCCACAGGCACACGCGCTGACAGTCAGTCGGACGGGCGCGGCGCGCGCGCGTCGCCGGCGGCCGCTACGTCACCGGTACCTCGTGCGTCGACTCTTCCAGCGTGTCGGAGGCCGGCTCGCCGCTCTCCTGCGAACTCGTGTCGGGCCGCGACCGCGCACCTGCAACGCACGCCGCTGCGGTCACAGGCGGGCGGGGACACCAGCCGCCGCCGGCCCGGCCGCGGCCAGCCGGCAACAGTCGGCCACAAGCCGCCGATGCGGCAAACAGACGACCGCACGTCAGCCGAGCCGGCAGCGATGGCACACGCACACACGCGCGCGCCGCCGAGCGTGGTGTCGAAAGCACCGGCACTGATCGGCCGTCCAGACACTGCCAGAAGGACGAGCGCGCCACAAGCCAGCGCAGCCCTCCCGACCAGGGCACGCCGGCACCATCCATAAAACACACATCCCCGCCCAGAGCCCAGACGTCCCTCACTCAAGGGTACGTAGCAAACCTTCCTTGAACACGAGCTATAAAGCCCCCTCCCTCGCCGGCCGACACGCCCGTCGGTCGGCGCCACGTACTTTCGTCGTCGGTCTCGGGCGCGTCGGGCGCGGCCGGCTCGGCCGAGCTGGCGCTGGCCACGGAGACGAAGCTCTGCGGCCGGCTGTTGTCCTCGGGCACGGCCAGCGGCGCCGGCGCCGGCGCGGCCGCCAGCGTGCCGCCCTCCCGGTGCAGCTGGTGGATGCGCTCGTGCGAATAGCGCAGCTCCTTGCGCATCCGCTCGCGCTCTTCGTCCCGCTCGGTCATCACGCCCTGCGGCGACGGCGGACCCCGGTCAGATCAGGTCAGGTCAGGTCGGGCCAGGCGGCGGGCGCCGGCACACGGCAAGGGACTTCAGCCGGCCGGCCGGCGGCGCTACATTCATACTGACGTCACTGGTACTCCCCGGACCGATGCAAACAGGGCCGGTGAACGATGCCGAGGCGGGAGTCAGCCCGGATCTCTCAATCCAGAACTCAGCGCCTCGACTCATCATCACGTCACGGCGCGCTCCCGGTCGCCGCAGCGGCTGGCGGTGACTCCTTCGCCACACAACGCGCTCCGGCGCATCCCGTCCGACCGGGCGCCGGCGGCTCCGGTCCCGCCGCGGCCGGGTTGGTGGCCGCCTGCCAACGTCCCGAGCGCGGCGGGCATCAGCACACGAGTCACGCAGCCCATAAGCGCCAAACTCGCCGTCCGCTTATCGCCGCACCGACCCCAATCGCCGACGCATCGGCACGACGTTAATAGTCTATCAACCGCGGGCGCGGCGCCGCGGCCGGCTGACCCACTGCGTGAGCGGTCGGCTCCGGCGGCCGACGGCGCGGCGCCGTCCGCACCGGCCGGCGACGGCCCGGTCGGTCGCCGAGGCGCAGCGCGCCCACACCAACGACGACGCAAGCCCGCCGCCGACGCCACCGTCCGGCGGCACTCACCAGCAGGGTGGTGAGCGTGGCGCTCAGCTGGCTGTTGACCTGCAACAGCTGACTGAGCGCCGCCAGGTTGGCGCGGTCGGCGCGGCGCGGGCGCGGGCTGACCGGCCGCCGGCTGCCCTCGGCCGCCGCCGCTGCCGCCGTCGCCGGCTCCGGCGGGCCCGGTGTGCACGTGCTGCTCACGATGTCGCCCTCCGTCACCTTCAGCGTCTCGTTGATGATGGACATGTTGCGGTCCGCTGTAAAGAGGCGGAGCGGAGGCTGAGGCGCGGCACGAGGGCAGAGGTGGCACTGCACAGCGTAATAAAACGCCAGACGCCGGCGGCTGGGCGGGGCCGACACGTCTCACAGCCAGCGCGGCGGGGCTGGAGCGGCACGTGCACTGGCGTCAATGGAACACGTTACGCGTTACCAGTTTGCATCGTCAGCGCCTCATCTGCACCGATCTCAGCGATCGCAAATGAGCATGCCGCAGTCAGCGTCGCCAGCGCGGACCGCGGAGCCGGACTGCACGCCCCGGCTGTTCCGGCCGGTCGCACCGCCCGCGGCCGAAGGGGATGGGTCGAGCGCCACCGCCCGGTCACGGCCACCGACCCGTCCCACGACGCTGAGGCGCCGCCAGCGCCCCCTCCCCCCCCCCCCTCCCTCCCCTGGCCAGGGTTGGCGTCACAGCCGCACCGGCCGGCCAGGCCACCTACCACTGAGAATCGAATTGAGGATGAGCTCGCGCGCGTCCTTCTCGCCGCCGGCCTCGGCCGCCATCTCGGCGATGTGCTGGAAGTCGTCGCGCGGGATCTGCAGGATGTCGGCCACCAGCTGCTGCTTCTCGGCCAGCATCTGGCGCACCTGTTCGTCCTTGCGCCGCAGCCGCTCTGTCGGCGGGCGGCAGCGGCAGGTCAGACAGGCAGCACGCGCCGCTGGAGGCCAGCCACGAGCGAAACAGACACGGCACCAACACCTGCAGTCACGCGGGGGTGGGGTGAGGGAGGGGGGGGGGAGGTGGTGGAGAACAAAGACACGTGCAACAAACAGACCACTGGTCAGTCACATCCGGGTCAGGTCAGGGAGTCGACTCCTGGGCTCCAGCGGAACCACTCCCGTCACCCACCCGACTTCAGCTGACCTGTCCCTCTCCCCTCCTCCCGCCAGCCGACCGGCGCAGCCCCGCCGCACGGGCCAGCCGGCCGGCGGCGACCGCGCGTGCCGCCGCCGCTGGACGGACCGGCAGCCGGACACGATGCCGCCCGGTCCGGTGGCGGACGTGGCCGGGCCGACACGCCGCTTCCCGTGCATTCAGCGGCGGCCGGCAGACGGACGTGCCCGGCCGAGCCGCGCCAGCCGCCCGGCCGGTCGGTGACATCACGGTCCCGGCGGCTGGGCCATGTCAGTGGCGTTCGCGCTACGCCCCGTTCCACCCCCAACCCCGGACTCCGGGGGCGTCCCCGTCCCCAGCCCACCCCACCTCCGGACTCCACAGACGGCCGAGGTGACGGGCACCGCCGGCCGCTCGACGACTGGCTTTAGCGGTAGGCTTCCGACCGAACGGGGCCGGGCTGGTGGCTTAGCAGACACAAACCGGCGACACAGCACGTCGCGTTCCCGAGGGGGGGGGGGGGGTGGGGTAACGGGAACCCTCAGCAGGCCGCGGTCCGTGTCCACTAGTTGCCGAAAGCGATATGACAACGCCACCCCACGCGCGTACGCCGCCGGCTCCAGACGTCCACGGCGATTGACTTATTATTCTGGGCTTCTGAGCTGCCAGGAACGTCGCGACTGAATGCTCGATTCGAGGCCACCCGAGGGGTGTGTCTCCACGCGTCCAGGAAGCGGAGATGGGAGGGGGGGGGGGGCTGCAGCACACATTCGCCACGCGCTCACACGACAATAACTTACACCACGCGGGTACGGCCGCGAGACGGGCACGGCGGAACCGTTTCCCACGTGTGCAGTCACTGCCTGCTGCCCCCCGGGTACACACACGACACACACGCCATCACACGGTCTGAACGGCTGCACGGCGTGAGCGGCACATGGCGACAACGGGTACCGAGGGCGTTACGCAACGAGCAGAGACGGACAGCCAGACCATCACCGACAGGCGTGAGCGCGCAGACCTATACAGAAGATATCCTCGGGAATGAACAGCAAGGCAGGCCCTGTACCCGGTGCGGCGACCAGTGCAGTGATGGCGGCACAATGTTAGATCAGCATGCACCCGTTGTGCAGGGAAGAGTACGGGCAGCGGACGCTGGAGGCCCCAGGGAGGCAGCCCGGGCACCGGTGAGCACATGAGCAAGGGAACAGGAGAAGGCCAAACGGCAAGACCACCCTGTGACCACCCTGTGACCACAGACCACCCTGTGACCACTGCCTGGTGACCGAAGGCCGAGCAGATGCATGACGGGTGTACCGGGTGACGTGAGGAGGTCATGCCCCTATCATTATAGGGGCCGGACATGTGGGCGTAACCCACATGTCGTGTCGTCATGTGGGCGTCACGACCGGCCGGGGTAAAACATGGCCCACCTATCGGCATCAGGACGGACCAGCATAACTCACTTATGGGTATCCGGAGGGGCTGGGATGGCAAACCCACCTTTGGGCATACAACCCATCCATGGATATCAGAAAAGGCTGGGAACCAATCTATGGGTATCAGGAGGGGCTGGGGTAAGCACGACCCACCTATGGGTATCAGGGGGACTGAGGCAAGCATAACCCACCCATGGGCATCAGGAGAAGCTTAAGGTAAGCGTGACCCACCAATGGGTATCAGGAGGGGCTGGGGTAAGCGTGACCCACCTATGGGCGTGAGGACGGGCTCGGCCGACAGCACGACGCCCTGCGAGACGACCACCTCGGCCGGGTCAATGAGCTGGGTGCACTCGGCAATCTTCAGCATCTCCACCCGCTGCATGCGGCGCCGCTCGCCCGGCGAGCTCAGGCCGGCGCCGTCCGCTCCTGCTGCATGCGGCGGGCGCGGGGCGCCGTCAGCGGCGGCGCCGCCCGCGCCCGTCCCTCCCCCGCTCACGCGGCCGCCGCGCTCGTGTGCCCCGCTGGCCGGGCGTGTGTGCGCGTGGTGTGCTCATGCCCGGCGGGCCGACCAGCCGAGGTGGGTGCTGTGGTCTCGTGTTCGGGCACGCGCGGCCTCGATCGCGCGCCTTGGTCAGTGTAAGCGGTTTGCGCTCTGAAGAATGTTAGTGGTCGGGCGGTGACGTGCCGGCGGCACGAGTGTACAGAAAAAGGACCCGTGACCGGCAGCGGCGTGAGCGGGGGAGAGAGGTGGCCGGGCACCAATGCACGCCCCATTCGTGCTACCCACAGTGCAACATACTCCGACCTCGAAAGGTGCACACACCCCATTGCGGCTCTCAAAAAGAAAGTGAAGACATCAGGCAGGCCCGCGGCGCGGTGCTTGCAGCGATTCACAAGGCTGTCGGCAATGCATGCCGGCAGTGAGCCAGCCGCAAAACATGACGTCTCTACTGCTGACAACGTCCGGAAGACTGCCGCAACCCGCATTCACCGTCCCACGGCCAGACAGCATGCCGGGAGAGGGCGGCCCGAGCCGTCCGCGTCCGGCCGGCGCCCGCGTGCAGCCGTACCTGCCGCCGCCTTCGCCGTCAGCTGACTGCGCGGCACCGTCGGCGACTGGGCCGGCGAGGCGTCGGTGGAGGAGGCGGCGCCGGCCGACGCCGGCGAGAGCGACGCCTCGGCGCCGCCGGCCGCCGCCTCGGCCGGCTCGTCGTCGCGCGGTGCCGCCGCCGGCGCCTCGCTCGAGTCCTGCGCCTGCAGCAGCGTGTGCGCCGACTCGGTGCGCTTGTGGCCCTTGCCGTCACGGCCCTGGTACGCGTCGGCCGCCTCCTTGATGAGCCGGTACCACCTGCGGCAGGCGCACCCAGACACGGCCGTCAGCTCTGCGGCCGGACGCCGCGCGATCGCGTCAGGTCAGGTCAGGTCAGGTCAGGTCAGGTCAGGTCAGGTCAGGTCTCGGCCCACGCACACGGCGAGCGGATGGGGACACCGCTGTCGGATCACGTAATCACGCTGCACCACAGGCGCTAACGCACACACACACACACACACACGGACACAGACACAACGTCCTACACAGTACGCTCTTCTCACGCGCGCCTGACCAGCGCAGCCATGCCGCGCCACTGACGCGGCCGGCCGGCGCGGCGGAGGCGGACGGCGACACGCACGTGCCGCCCGCCCCACAATGGAGCCGGAGCGGCCCTACCTGGACGCGTGACCCTGGACGTCGGCGGCCGCCGCGCGGAACGTGTCCAGGTAGGAGTGCGACCGCTCCATGACCGCGCACACACGCCGTCGCCACGCAGGACACTCGCCGAGCGGAGCGAGCGCGGCCGCGACGGCAGGCCGGCGCCGCCCATTCACCGGCTGCCGCCGCCGCCGCCGGCGCTGGCCGCATCGGCAGCGACGCAGTGTCGGCAGGGGCCAGCGTCGCGGCCAAACCCGGCGGCACTTCGCCCTTCGCGATTCGGCCCGGCCGACCGGCTGACAGAGGCGGGTATTTATAACCGGCGCCAGGATTTGCCCGCGGACTATTTTTAGGGCGTGGAATCGCGCGCCTCAATACAAAACGTCTCATTCAGCACATTAAGGGCGCGCGGACGCGTCAAACGCGTCGCCGCCGGCCAGAAAGCCGGCACTGACCTCTGCGCGGCCCGTCCATCTGCGCCGCCAGCCGGAGTCGCGGTCGGGACTGCGGCCGGAGCCAGCGGACGGCGCGCGCGCCCGCCTGCCGCTACCGACCGGCCACAGCGGCAGAGCGCACTGCACGGAGACAGGGCACTGCCAGACCGCCGGCTGGCTGGCTGGCAGGCTGGCGCGGCCGACTCGCGCGGCTCGTCCGCATACCCCGGCGCGATGGAAACGCGACGCGACGCGCGTCGGCGCAATGGAAACGCGCGCCGCGCGTGCCGCCACCGGCCGGGCGTGGCGCGCCCGCCTCGTAGCTGCGCGGCGCCGTGGGCTGCGTCAGTGGCGGCAGCCGACCTGAGGACGACGTCGGCCGCCGCCCGACTGCACCGGCTCGGTGTGGTGACGGTGACGGCGAGGACCCGGCTGGCCGGCGGCTGCGGCGGCGGCGTGCACGCTCGTGGTGGTCCGCGGGCGCGTGAGAACGGCTGACCGTCGCTCCGCCCAACGCCAGATCATGCGCCGCGCCGCACCCAAATTAGAGAGCGGCGCCCGCCGTCCAAACCAATTTCTACCGGCCGCGAGCGACGGCGGCAGCCGCGCGCCGCACCAGGGCAAACGCCGACCGTCGGCGCGGCGCGGCGCGGCGCGGCGCGGCAACGGTCGGCAATGTCAAATCTGGGCCGCGGGTCGGGCCACCGCCACCGCGGCCACGGCGGCAGAGGTGTCGCCGCCGCCGCCACCGGGTCACGGCAGCCGCCGACCCGACCGGAGAGAGCGCCGCCGCCGCCGGCATTAGCATGTGAATGGCGGCGAGCGCGCGCCGCGCCGGCCACCGGAGCCGGGCACCCGCCGGGCCGCGCCTGCTCACGGCCGGGCGGCGACTAATGAGTCACCGGGCCGGGCGCTCACGTAATCCCCGCCGGCCGCGGCCGGTCTGTGACGGCGAGCGGGCCGGCAGCGCGCCCCTTCCCGCTGGCAACGGCTGGACAACGCCGGCTGCGCTGCGCTCCGGTCCCAGCGGTGCGGGCGGCGGAACTGGCGCAACGCGAGCTCAGCCAGGCTGGTCAGCTCGCCAGAGGTGACACGATGTGGTTATCGAACAGAATACCGGCTTGGCGGCCCGGTGTGTAACCGCAGCGCGGCCGCAGTACATTACTGATGCTCGGGAAACTTCCGACACGGCTGGCTGGCTGACGGGTGGGACAACACATCAGCGCCGACTAACATGGCCCGACACCAAGCGAAGATTTGTTTGAAGCAGCAACCAAATTAAGCCGTTAAGTTATGTTTTTACCGCAGGAAACAGCGCTGAATGAAGTCATCAAGCGTGTTGAACATCACGCAACGCTGATAAGAAAAACCGGCCTGTCAGCGAGGCGCGGCATTTGATCCTGCGCGCGGCAAGAGTTGCAGCCGGCCTTCCTGCCGCCGACAGCGCCGGCTCCCAGCGCGCCGCTCGGCGAGCGGGGCCTCCGTCGGCCGGCAGCGGGGAGAGAGCTCACGCGCTTCAGAGCCGCGCCGCCCAACACGGACACACCGTCCGACAGCCAGCCGCGCGCATGGTCTCCCCGACAAGTCTCTCTTATCTGACGGCAATCGCCTTTAAATCACCCCGGGCCTGGCAGCCCCTGGGCAAGCCTGTCTGCTTTAACTTTGTTTTCCACTGTTCAAGTTGCACGGCGTGCGACGTAGCGGAGCCCTCTGAGGAGAGCTACCGACTGTTCTATAAACGCCCCGGGGCCCCCGCGTCAGCTGCGAAGCCAACCAGGATTTCCCGCAACTGCGCTACTTCGTCTCTTAACCCCGAACGGGAGTCCTGTCACACAAAAATAGGCCATCTTCACCACCGGGCATTCCTCTCACGAAGGAGCCAGGTGACTCACGCTTCCGACGCGTACGCCTTCAGGATGCAGTTGTTTACCTCCGCGGTCGTTCTGCGCTGTTCTCGGCCACACAGAGGCCGACGCTGGCGATGACTGCGCATCGTTCGCGCGCAGTCTGAGCCAGACAGACAGACAAATGACGCCGCCAGGGAGTAGCCATGCAGCCGACCGGCGATTTTCCTGGCCCAGGTGGAATCGCGTTTGTTTACAGAGCCCCCGGCACGAACTGCGCGCAACACACTGGCAGCTGCTGAGAACCAGTCGCCAGATTCACGGACCGCCAGCCGGTCCGGTGCGCCTGTGACACATGTGTACCTCACGTGGCGTGCGCTCTCCGTCGCCCGCCCATCAGCTCTTGTAATGCCCACCGGTCACCGGCGGCGACACCGGTCGCCAGTGACGGCGACCAAGAGCCGAGCCGACCGGCCGAGGTCGCCTCAGGCTCGGCCGTCGGCGCCGGCAGCCGCCCGGCCCAGTCCAGTCCGCTCCGCTCCGCTCCGACAGGAAACGGGAGGCCGATTGTCTCCGGCCAGGCATGGCCCCGGCCGCCCGCCGTGCCGCCAGCACGGCCCACCCAGCACGTCGGGCACGTCCAGGGCGCGCGCGCCGGAGCCGCCGGGGCAAGGGCCGTGCATGCGCCGTCGACGGCGGCGCCTGCAGCTGCCGATCGGACGGCGAGTCGGGCCCGGGCGGTGCCGCGGCCGGACCGAGGACGGCGCCGGACAGCCGCCGTCGCGTCACCGAGACGCCGCCGCTCTCGCCGGCAGCCACGCACCAGAGCCACGCCCAGCGCCGCCTTTCCCCGCGTTGTCATTGTGCCCCGATCGGTGGAAAGCCGGGCGGCCGGCACGCACACACCGCCGCGGACGCGCCGCCGCCTGGCTCGACGGCGGTGGCGAGCGGGAAGGCAGGCGGCGCGTCGGCGCGTGACGAGCGGGCCGCCATCTGCGCCGCCGTCACGCGCCGCGCCGCCGGTCCGACGGCCGACACGGGCCCTCTGTCTGCCGGCCGCCCGCTGACGGGCCGCCGTCAGCCCGCACGCCACGGCGCGTCGGCCGTGATGGGCAGTGACGCACACCGCCGGCCACAAGGGCGCTGCTTCAGACAGGAATAGATGGTTTTAAAGCATGCCGCAAACACAGCAGGTGGATTTCTGACCGGACTTCGTGCCGCGCAGGATAGTTTAGCAAACGCTGGATAGGCCCTGGCATAAAGAAACCCGTACGAAATAATACGCAGAGGAAAGGGGGGGGGGGGGGGGAGGCAGACTGCGCCCGGCCAGCGTCGCGTCGCGTTCGGTGGAGCCGGGCCCGGTGCGGGAGCGGTCGTGACAAGGCGAGGCTGAGCGGTGCGGCCGCCCGCCGGCCCGGGACCGGGCCGGACCGGTCCCGGCCGGCCGAATCCGTCTCGCCACACGCAGCCGAACCGCGGGCGGTCGGCGGCGGCGGCCCTCGCGCCGGGAAAACCTGGCGGCCCGGCTGAATGGTGCGGCCTGTACTAACGCGGCGGCGGCGACGGACAGCGGCACACCAGGCCGTGGGAGACACGTGGCGTCGGCCGACTGGACAGGCCCGTGTCCGGCTCTGCTCGTGGTGGAGATGCGGAGAGTACGGGCGATCCAAGCCGTCCCTGCCCCCGGCACCGCATCCCAGCCGGCGGACGCTGTGCTCCAGGTCACGTCAGCAGGTCACCCGCCTCCGCCGACCGGAGATTATCCGCTGTGTCCGTACGGAGCCGCTGCCGCCGCGAGCACTGGAGCGGCCAGAGCAGGACGTGGACCGGCCGGCGGCGCGGCGGAACCGGCCGCTATCCGTGCATGGACCGGCGCTGGGCCTGACCGACTCCCCGGGCGGCGTCTGGCCCATCAGTGCCGGCCGGCTGGGGACCGGCCTGCAGATGGAGCGCCAGATGAGAGACGGCGGCCGGCCGGCGCAGGGGCGTGCCGCCGCCGACACACGCTCGACGGCCATATACAGCTCGCGCTGACGCCAGAGGGGCCGCCGCCCGGCCCGCCGGTCGCGTGGGCGGCACCCCACAGACGCCGCTGTCCATCCGCCTGCCATCCCCGCTGCCACTCAAAAGCGCGGAGGCAAAAACGTCCCGCCGCCGTCCGCCACCGCGGCGCCCACAGACCTGGTGACGATGCTGCCGCGGCGCTCCACCTTGGCGGCGCGCCGGCCCGTCTTGTCGCGATCGAGCGTGCGCGTCTTCTCGTCTTCAAGCTTGAACGCGGCGCGGCTGGGCGGCGGCCGCTGGTCCAGCTTCTCCTGGCTGAGGCTGCCGCGCCGCTCGCGGAAGCGCTCGCGGTCGAAGAGGCGCCAGCGCGCGTCGC